CCTATGTTCTAAATGCAAATGATAAGTTTATAATAGCTACTCTTCAGCTTCATTTGTCGTTGCAATTTTTTTATTTTTTTTAACGTTTATTTATTTTTGAGACAGAGAGAGACAGAGCATGAACGGGGGAGGGGCAGAGAGAGAGGGAGACACAGAATCGGAAGCAGGCTCCAGGCGCTGAGCCATCAGCCCAGAGCCCGACTCGGGGCTCGAACTCATGGACCGTGATATCGTGACCTGAGCTGAAGTCGGACGCTTAACCGACTGAGCCACCCAGGCGCCCCTGTCGTTGCAATTGTAAACATCGCTCTAGGGTGCAACTTTGTGAGCCTAAGTTATTAGAACACATCTCATATTCTGTTGAAGACTAAAGTGGCCACATCTGTGTTGAACTCTCCTAAGAAAAATTTTAGAAGTCAACGTACTAGAAAAACAATTATTTTTTAAGAGTGTGTTTTTTGCAACAATAGATACACGTACTTTCTTCTTCTTTTTTTTTTTAATGTTTATTTTTGAGAGACAGAGACAGAGTGCAAGCAGGGGAGGGGCAGAGGGAGAGGGAAACACACAATCCAAAGCAGGCTCCAGGTTCTGAGCTGTTAGCATAGAGCCCATCGTGGGGCTCAAATTCACAAACTGGGAGATCATGACTTGAGCTAAAGTCGGATGCTTAACTGACTGCGCCACCCAGGCGCCCCGGTATATGTACTTTTAATTAAAAGGAGATTTTATAATGTGCCTGCAATTAGCAAGTAGTTATCAGAAAACCTGCCCAACAGAAAATAATTCTGATCAGGGCAATAAATGACCGAGTATTTATTATATAGTAATCATATTTTATTAAATAGAGACATATAGATACAGGTAAGCAAGGCTGAACGAATGTCTTATTAGAAATCTCACTTAAGCCCCAAATACGGGTTGGACCATATAAGCAAATGATGGGAACAGCTGTGCACGGTAATGAACTCACGGACTCAGTATGAAATGACGGGTGTCACGGAAGTCTCTACAAGGTATCTGTGGTTGACTGGCCCTTTACCAAATTGTGTTGATTCTCTGAGGCTACCCAATACACCTGTCACTCCATTTACACCTGACCCAGTTCTCACATCTCTCCATGAGGAGAGAGTATTTTTATAAAATGCCACCTCAAGGCGATCCATTTGTAAGTATTTAGACCCATCAGTCTTCTCGTGGTGACGTGCTGGCAAGCATTCACAAAAGGGCACCACTGGGACTTTTCCTGAGTCCTTTGTTTCCACTTTGTTATGGGAATAAACCTGTTTTTCACTAAGCTGTGTAGAAGTGCAACACAGTATTACAAGAAGCTCCAAACTCTGAATAAGATAAGATGCCGTGTCCTCTGCTGGAAACAAGGCAAAGCGATTATTCTCACTGACAGGAATGGCAGGGTATGCTGGGAAACTGGTTATCTCCAGTGGGGGGTGGGGGAGTGTGATTTATAATGTTCAATGATGTCCACGGTGTAAACAGTCCCGCCATGGGTATTTCAAGCTACCAGTGGCTGTGGCTCACCAGATTCCTGTACCCTTGAATTATCTTTTACAGGCTAGCAGTTGTCCACACCACACCAATGAGAGGAAAGAAGGGCACAAGTGATACTAGTCACAGGTACATGTAGGAAGATAGTAAGACTCTTCTAATTTGCTTGGTCTTTGAAAGCTGAATTTTTACAAAGCTGCTCAGCGGGAAGACACATCAGGGTTCTTTCACACTTTGTATGAAAGAGAAAGGTAAGGATGGTTTTCCCTTTCCATTTCTTATTCCCTGTCTCAATCTCCTACAACTGCAAAGGATGGGGGACATGAATTGCTACTAGAAACTATCCCTCGAAGTGCCATCCATGATCCGCTGGGCCAGCATACTTGGGACTCGGGATCCACTCCAGAACCCTGTCTCTGAATCCACGTGTAGCAAATGCCTCAGTGACCCAAATGGACGTTAATGTTTGAGAAAGCAGCGTGATCAACCGTACACCTCTTATGAGCCGTTGAAATGTCAAAGCCAGGAGAAACGGGAACCCTTTGCACTGTTGGTGGGAATGCAAATTGGTGCAGCCGCTCTGGAAAGCAGTGTGGAGGTTCCTCAGAAAATTAAAAATAGACCTACCCTATGACCCAGCAATAGCACTGCTAGGAATTTATCCAAGGGATACAGGAGTACTGATGCATAGGGGCACTTGTACCCCAATGCTTATAGCAGCACTCTCAACAATAGCCAAATTATGGAAAGAGCCTAAATGTCCATCAACTGATGAATGGATAAAGAAATTGTGGTTTATATACAC